AATGTTACCACAACTTTTCTATCTCCCTTGGTGGCCAACTTTTAACGCAAACCAACGCTACTAAATTTCTTGGGGTATATATTGACGAGCACCTTACTTGGAAAGATCATATCAGCTATTTATGTAAACAAATCTCCAAATCAATTGGAATGTTATTCAGTTCCCGCTTCTATCTATCCTCAAAAACTAAACTCACCCTCTACTACTTGCTAATTTATCCTTATATCACCTATTGTAACTCTACATGGTCGTCTACATACGTAACTAACTTAAATAGAATTTATTGTTTGCAAAAACGGGCTGTGTGAGCTATTACCAATTCAGATTATAGAGCCCGTTCTGCTCCTTTATTCTCCAAATTAGGAATTTTAAACATTTATCAAATCAACACGTTTCAAATAGCTAAATCTATGTACTGTTATCATTACAACCTGTTGCCTCCATTGTTTTTCAACTTGTTTTTTTACAAACTGTCAAATTCATGGCTATAGCACCAGAACAGCCAATAATTATCGCGTGCATCATTGCCGGAGTAATCCAAAAAAATTCACAATTCTTTACCGAGGTCAAAAGATCTGGAATTCTCTTCCTGTTACAATCACTTCATTGTCAAGTTTTCCCAATTTTAAGAAAACACCGCTAGAGGATTTAGTAAAATAATTACTGAGCTGGCAAAGCCGCACACTGTTGCACTATTTATGTAACCGTATTGTTACGTACGAGGTGGCCTCAACTAAAAGCCTGATGGTTTCTAGAGGTCACTTCGCCTCACATTAAAATATTTATAAATACTGTATATTAAGTAAAAGGGCAAATACACAGATTGAATGAATCAATGAATCAATGAATCAATGAATCAATGAATCAATGAATCAATGAATCAATGAATCAATGAATCAATGAATCAATGAATCAATGAATCAAAATACAGGGCGACAACACAGAATCAGAAATGGTATGAAGCAGGAGCCCATCACTAAGAGCGTGCAACTAACATACTAAACCTATGTTATGGCATTTTTACAGAGCGATCTATTTTTAGGCTTCTTTTCCCGCGAAGCAGGTCAGTTCCGGTCTACATGAGCGCACATCGGCAAGGAAGAAAAGGGAGTTACCTTACATCAGGAGCCCATCTCTTCTTCTGGTGAAATGATGATGTCAGTTGAAAATTAAGTCCGTGTTTGTGATTGGTCACTGAGATTCCTGCAAAATTTGCTGTTTTCCTCCAAAATTTGTGAGCCTCGTGAGTCCACAACATTTTGACCACTGTGATGACGCGTATCGTTGCCGATAAGAGTACAGACCACGCTAGCCACTTTCGATTTCTCAAATAACCAATTGACACCAGGCGTTCTGCAACGCTTAACTGATACCTAGTCTTAGTCCGAACGGAAATGTCCAGAGTAGGCCGAGGAAATTTTGCTTAGCATTTTTTAAACAAACATAGTCTAGAAAGTTGAGGCAATCTGAATTCCACTGGCTCGCGCTTCGCTCTACTGTCTAAAACAACGACTATTTACAGTCGAACATTAATTAAGCCAAAGTCGTCCATGTATAAAGATATAACGCTATACTGAAAAAGTCCAGTTAACAATTCTAGTCTTATCTTAGAGTAACAAATCATTTGACAAAGAACTGTCTGCCTCTTCTTTGTTTGTGACTTCACTATTGAATGTACTGTCTCCATCACTACGAAAATCAACAATGACACCATCTGTGATGTCATCTGAGCCTTCTATCGCACGACCAGGCTGCACTTCAGAGGTGCCTTGAGCTTGCCCATGCGCGGTTGTTTGGTCCCCAGACTGTACGTTGTTGATGCCGTTTTCGTGGAACTCTTGTTCCTTGGGGAGTCGTGGATTTTTCAGAGTCCGTGAACGACCTTGTACCTTAGGAATGGATTTCAGAAAACGTTAATGCGGAAGGACATTCCCGTTACAAAGGGAGACATTCAAATACCCCCCTGTAACACCCATTCTTGCTACTAGGCCTAAGAGAATTATAAAACCATCGCTGAAAGTTAGAGAGAATCTAGGTTTAGTTTGAGATGACGCTGTGTTATAAGATTCCATATTGTTTGTCAGTCTTCTTATGCTCAGTTCGTTCCCTAGATACTCTTGAACAATGGGGGGAGATGTTGTGTTAGCTTACATGAAGTATTGTTCAAGTTAGTTACGTGCGAGATGCTTGTTGGTTATTAAAGATGGCGTCTTGAAGTAAACACGTGTTGTTCACTGAAGACTATTGTAAGCCCAAATAACTCGACATTTTCTAGGACCCCCAAAATCTGTAGCTGACTAGAATATAATACAAAAATATCTTGTTGTTGATAATTTTTTCAGAGACATGGGGGCAAACTTGTAACCTATATCATATGTAACTATCAACTAAAACTTTGAAGAAAGGATAATGAATGTAGCACTGATTAAAGTTTTTTTATGGTGCCATAACAGCTCTCTTTGAGATTAAGGACAAATTGAATATCCATTGAACAACAGATAAAACTAACTTCGTCATAAAACTGAACTTCCAGTGTTACATGGGAACTTCAACTCATCGAAGTAACTTGTCTCTGTTGACTAATATGAAATTAGTCTCCCCACTGCTACACTGTGTGACACCTGTCAATTCAAGGGGTTGCCTAGTAACAATCTCTTTCTGGAGACATCTCAAAATTTTAACTGGGTTGCTTATGTTGTGTTGCAAACAGTATGCTACCCGCACTTTGTCCACAATTTCATCAACAGTAAGTACTGGCTCGGCCAGTGGAACTGCTGAAGTCGTTGTGCTGACATCTGCATTCTCGGGCTGCCCCAAGCTTGAAGCCTCTGGGATGCTTGGGTTGAGGCTAGGATCAACGATGTCTGGGTCAATGTCTGCTTGCTTTTCTTCCACAGAGGCCACAGAGGTGCTGCTTTCTTGGATTTTCTGTGGCTCTGATACAAACACAGAAATACTCAAGGTGTCATCATCCTCAGATTCAGAGCTTAAGAGACCGTCTCTGGTCTTGCACATCATAACGTGAAACCTAAGGTCTTTCATTAATACCTCTTTATGCACAAACGAAACTTACTGTCCAAGTCCTTCTCGAAGAAAGTTTTCTTTTCCCACCACGGCCACCCCTTCTCTTACTGCCACTTCGTCTGCTGAAAAGAGCCATGCGTTCGCTAAGAGCAGCTGCAGCCGCAGACTGATGTTGTTTTTCAGCGTTAGCACAAAGTGCACGGAGACGATG